CAGTGTCGCTGTTCCAGAATCTGTCGGATATGATCGATGCAACCTCTTGCAGGATGGAACCCACCTTGGTTTTCACGGATCTGCCTCTCTCCGTGTTCAGTCAGTCAACCTTCGAACGATAAGGCCAGAGAGCACATTCGATGCCACAGCTGACAGGTTGATGACACGGTGGTAGTTTCTATTTTATCATGTTAGCCAGAAGAAATCTCCATGTCAACTGTGCTCACCAGACCACGTTCCCAAAATGACTGACTGTAAATTTTCCAATCTCAGAGGCTACAGTCCGGGAAAGATAAATCCATCATCTAGTTGTGAATATTTCGCCTAGTTTGTGATGTCCACTTCCCCATTGGATAATGCATGCCCTGAAAGCTTCGGGGATCCCACAACTTTGATAGATTTAGAGCTACGATTGTGAGGCAAGCATTAGGAAGTTTTGCCAAACAGTAGGTGGACTGGAGTTTCCTGTAGGGGACCACGATTCAACCCCCACCCCCACCACGCCAACAGACAGTGGTCTGATCTCAAGACCAAACGCACTCTTTCAAAATCAAGCAGTACATATGAGTGATTTTGTACTTAGGTTCATCGTCGTCATAACCCCCCCCCCCACCACGCCCACCAACAGTGGTCTGATCTCAAGACCAAACGCACTCTTTCAAAATCAAGCAGTACATATGAGTGATTTTGTACTTAGGTTCATCCCGTGTCGTCATAACAACCAATTGACCAGGGGGATTGTCGTAATCAACATATATATTTTCATCAGTCAGTAGTAAGAAGGTTCATTTGGACAGTACATGCCACATTCCCTTATCCTGCTTTCCAGTCTCCGGCGATCGATAACCGTCCATCACGCTGGGCACATTTGACCACCTTGTCCCGACGACTAATGCAAGCCGAAACCGTGGAAGAACACGAATTGGCATCCCGAAAATTATATCGCGCACTTCAGGTTAGTTGTGCAAATCGTCTATCTCATTTTTACTATTCAAAGCAAAGTTTTGACCAACTTGATGCACCTTCAGTTTTGCCTGAGGAAATGTAGTTGTACAGGGTGAGCAGGCATCGAACAGTTTAGGACCTACCTCTTTGTAAGGACCTAGAAATCAAATCTAAATTAATGGCGGACACAAACAACGTTTGCCAAACCATTCACACTCTAA